GCCGATACCAAGTGTAAAATTGAAATTCATTGCTTCGAGATGCTAAATATGCATGGAGTATGGGAATAATACCTTTTCTTTTCCCACCCCCTTGATCAACATATCTTGCAGTATCATTGAAGACACGCAGCATTGGGATTATGCCATTTGAGGCACCATTTGTACCACGTATATAACTTCCTGTTGATCTGATATTATGGACAGAAAGGCCAATACCTCCAGCTGATTTGCTAATGACTGCACACTCCTTCAGTGTATTGTATATACCCTCAATACCATCCTCTTTCATGCACACAAGAAAGCAGCTACTCAACTGATACAGTAAGAAAAGGTAAATCAAATAAAATATTAGAATCAAAACTTCAAAATATCCTGCAATTACAATCAACCGACAGCAAGCTAAAGTAGTGATTCAAATACTGTCAATGTACACTCCTCACAGTTGGAAACGATGTTGCAAATGAAAGCCAAGCATCCAAGGCATGAAACCTTAAAAAAGTCCTAGAAAACCAACTGTAGAAAAAATGAAGCACTAAACTTGAAGAAACGGAACTAACAGACTGCACCAGCTACAGGCTTGTATAGCATGAAAATTACAAACATTAACTTGGTAAATTTGTAATATACAAATTAAAACACCAGGTGAATGTGGCCATATGTGACAAATGCCACTATTTGTTAACATTATAAAAAAGGTGTATGCATTTTGGTCATGTCATGAGATGTGACACAATTAAGCCCATGTAATTACAATTAAGTACATCGCTAGCTCCCATAACAATAGGAAACTAAACGAATCGTACCATCTTCCACACCTAAAAGGAGACAATTAAGAGAAGCTTGAATCCTACAAAATTACCCATTTGAAAAAACAATGAAGAAAGCAGACCATGCAAAATAGGCATTAAATTACCATACGAACTACAGCGAGCTACTTGTAGTAAGTGAACCACCCATAAGAAGCATCAAGTAACCATCTCACTCACAACCATCAACAAGGAAAAACCATTACATCACACCCATAATACTCTTGAATAAATGCACTTAAGTTCACGGCTCCCATATACACCGATCAAAATGCCTTTTTAACTGCTTATACGCTAAAATAAACCACGATGGTCGATGTTAAACAATAGGCCAAATATATCTTAATTGAACACACCTGTGGCCTTGGAGTCCCACTGTTGAAGAGTGTGGGTGAAGCATGGTTGAACCAACGCTGTGACATCAGGTGGTATGTTTGCATGGCAGAATCCAAGTCATCTTTATGGATACCAATTGCAACTCTCATCAACATGTGTTGGGGTCTTTCTATAACCTTGCCTCCAGCCTTCAGTAAGTATGATCTCTCTAGAGTTTTGAACCCAAAATAGTCATAATCAAAGTCTCTGTCATGAATAATTTCACTGTCCAAATGGTCAGCATTCTGAAACAATCAAGAAATATATTGTCTATTAGATAAAATTAATAAAATAGGACAAGTGTCCTAATGTTAGGGGGTAGATTAGTAGATTAGAAAAAATCTGCAGTAAAAAAACCTAAATTCCATGACTAGGTAGCAGTAAAAGCCAGAAGACTGGTGAGACAACGAGGTCTGATAACTTCACCTTCATGATTATTTCATACACATCATCGGCAACTAGAGGAGCCTTTTTCCCGGATTTCTCATCGATGTACATATACATCAATTTTATGCTGCAGAAATCAGCAAGAGAACCAAAGAGTCATACTAATAAATAAATTATTAAAAAACAACCCCAATTCTTTCTCAATCTTAAAAACCTCATATTCCACACAATTTGGTTGCTACTCAAAACCAAAAACAAATAAACAGAAAAACTTATGTTTCGGAAAAGGATTTCTTAGTGTTTTTGTGGAGATTTGAAACAGCAACTCTTGCTGCAAGCTACGGCAAACACAAATACAAATCAAACATACGACGTCAGACAAACTAAAAACATACACAAAACAAAATTGCAACGAGAAAAAAACTAAAAGAAAAACTAAAAAAAACATATTGGGAAATCGGTCTGGGATTTTACAGATGCATAATCAGGATGGTTTGTCGCCACGGAAGCTGCTGTCTCCGCAGCCAATTCATCGAGCTGGCTAGTTGTGACCCCCTTATAAATACCAGCACAAACCTTTTGAGCAACAAGCACTGGTTCACAGTGCAATTTGTTGAGCTCATTGCTTAACTTGTAAAGGCGAGCAGTGATCTTATCAAAATGTACAGCTTCTTGCCTTCCATCTCGCTTAATCACGTACATCATGAAAACCTTGTATTCTTTCTTTCGTTTCTCTGCAAATCTAATGGAGAGCCTGAACACCTAAGTATTCCCTTTTTGTTTTGTTCGTCTGCAAATAATCAGCGGAAATTCAATGAAAAACCTACTTTTCTAGTTCTCTGCAACAAAAACAATACAACGGGCCTCAAAACCCTAGTTTTCTTTCTACTGTAGATAACCAGTGGAAATTAAGTAAAAACCCTAGTTTTATTGGTTGAATTGTTTTTCTTTCATTGTCGTCTTTGAATCAGCGGGAACGGACCGATGCTATTGATGGTTCTGTGTTTCCCGCCTTTTTAATTTTTAAAGAAAAATTTGCCGGCAGTAATGGGAATGAATCAGGAAAGAGTGTGTATTTTCCGGGTGGTCGGAATTATTTGACGAGAGTTAAACTTACGGGGCCGGGTTATAGTACAGCATCGGGGCCGGGTTATAGTACAGCATCTTATGTCTCGTTGGCCTAGTGGACTGGGACCAGGCCTAGTGGACTGGGACCAGGCCTTGGTTTAAAGTCTGACAGCCCTAATTGTGCAGTGCTTTTTACTTCAGAATGGTCTACCGCCCCGGCCCAACTGCCCTTGAAGACCTGCCTGGGCCCATCACATGCTGGGCCTTCGAGGGACGGCTCACATAGGTCCGGGCCTGCAAACAATGCCTGGTAATTTACTTAGGCCTCAGGGGCTTACACCTCTAATATTGCATTAGATATATCCTGAATTTGTGAAATTGACGCCGCTCCCTTTGAGTTACTGTTATTATACATTTTCTACTTTTGTTCTTTATATATTTGGTAATCCGGACAATCCAATTCATTGATCAAGGTTTCAAAACATTAGTTCTTACAGTTTTAGCATTTTTTCTTTTTTTGCCCAAAATACCCCATGTTCTTTATATATTTGGTAATCCGGACATTCCAATTCATTGATCGAGGTTTTAAAACACTAGTTCTTATAGTTTTAGCATTTTTTTTCTTTTTTTTCAAAATACCTTAAGTGACCGTGACATTGGACCAAAGTTCTAAATAATTTTTATTTATTACGATTTTAGACTTTCAAGATCTAAAGTTATGTCACATTCTTAGTGTTATTAGGAATGAAGTGATGTTTTGGTCTAGTCGAAAGCAATCCACCGACTTATCAAACTAGTTGAACCATATTTTAAAATATTAAAAAATAAATAATAGTTTAAATATCTATAATATATTAGAAAATTAAAAGTTTTATACGAGCACCCGCTGATCCACGAATGTCCATCTTGTAAATTGTCTCATACAAAAATGCTACCTGGATGGTGCATACAAAACTCTCCAAATGGCATATTTTAAAATTTTAAACTTTAATTTTTCAATTTATGATCACCTTAACCTATATTATAAATCCCTAAAAATTTGGACCAAACATCCGTCTTTAAGGTGCATTTTGGAGAGGGAACACATATGTACACATGACTCCAATAACTAATGGAAACCTCGTTCATTAGAAAAATGTTGTCTAGTTTGTTTAGCCAATTCAACTGGTTGAGCACTTTACGGACCAAAAGTGATTTTACATCAGTTTTGCCCAATTTTCTACCACTTTATTATGGAACAATTGGCTAAGGCACTGAGGTTCAACTAATCAGACGACCGGTCCAATCCAATCTCGATAACTAAACTCAAACCTTGAAGGTCCCTAAGTGTTTTATGGAGTAAGGTCCAAAGTCAATAATTTTGTTGCGGAGATACGGAACGACGGCATTATGGGAAAAATAAAAAGGAAATTTTATGAAGTGTGAGGTTTAAATAAGGTGTCTTTTTTATACTACAGAAATAAAGTGCACTTCTAAACTGTATTTGCATGTAGTACTTGTATTGAAAACCTTACGATGGCTTAAAAATCTATTTTTATCTTTAGTTATAAAATTTAAAATCTAAAAAATAAGACAAATCATATGGTCTATAGATAACTTGTTCCATGTTTCATATTTATAAAAACTTAATTATTTTTGGAAAACTGCTCACTTTGTTATTACTCGACTGGTTTGCACTAAAAACCAGTCGGTTGAGTACTGGTCATGTGGGTGCAAGCCCCCGAGTGGACCTCCAAAACTGCGGTTAATCTGGTGCGCAATTTCGATTTGACCGGCTAGTTCCGAGTTGAACGGGCCGATATTTATAAAACCGACGTAGATTGGGCCAAACAATTACACATGCAAAAGATTGTGAAATCTAGAATTTGTGGTGAAAAAAGTACGTATGTGGTATAGTGATGAAGGGCTTGTGTGCAACCAATATAGATTTTGATGAGTTAAAGTTCCTGCAATTGATGAAATACCAAGGAGTTGAGCCCAATCCGATGGGATGGTGTATAATACTGTAAAAATGGGAATGTTGGGATGGTGTATAATACTGTAAAAATGGGAATGTGGGTAGAGCCATGAGCTTGATGAGTGAGATCATCCCCTCTTGAACAAGAGACTTCAGAAAGGGAGTGGGGACAAAGAGATTGGGAGAGGCCAGAAAATAGATAGATATGGGGTAGAAACATCTAAATTATTGACTTATTATATTAGTTTAATAAATAAAAATTATTCCTTTTTCAATTTTTTTAGAATTTTAAAATTTTAAAATGTTAAATATATCCAAAATTTCACACCGATTTTTTAATCCTACCCAATATACATTTATTATTCTTCCCTGAAATTTTGCGTCCGATTTTTTGATTAAAACGGAATTTAATTTCGGGCCGCCGCTGAGTGCGGTTTACACACGGAGGTGAGTGAGCGAGAGAGAGAGAGAGAGAGAGAGATAGTGTACCGAGTTAGAGAGAAGAGGCGAGGCGGTTCGATGCCGTTTCTCAGCTGGACTTGCCCTTCAACTAAGCAGCAGAAATTGTGCCTGAACCAGTAAGCCCCTCTCTCTCTCGCTCTCGCTCTCATCTCCATTTTAGGATTTTAGTTCGACTTCATTACGCATTACATTTAATTCAGACTCGTCTCTCTCTCTCT